TGAAGCTTGATGTGATGTTGTCCCTTGGCTAGCGTTTGAGCACATGACCCTATACCTAGAACACACATCAACCCCAATCATCTCTCTCGCACCATTGCATAGGCTTCTCAACGACTGTGAAGCTCAAACGAGAAGTATAGGCAGCCAAGATAATGAATTAGTACTTGTGACTACGACCGCGACGACGAGTAGCGCGTCACATAGAGTCCAACATGTTAAGTTGAAGCCATAGGAAGGCCATATGGATGATGGATCTAGCACCGGTGATGATAAACGGAGCAAACAAAAGTGATGGACTTATGATGGAAGCCTAGGAGGTGATTGGAGTTAAAATCACCATAGCAAAGAAGAGGTACATGTACCACCAACATACTAGCTAGACAACCAAACAAGATCCAACCAATGTTGTCTTATCCAGCTAGCACGTGGCAACCAAACAAAAATCTGTTGCATTGACTTGGACATGCTTAGGCTAGCATGGGTGATTTTTCTAGCCTGGTTTCTTGGATAAACACAAACAAACAGGCCCAAAGAGATGGGTTGACAACGGTAGCAGGCAGGACATATATGATCTGCCGCGAGCTAGCACACTGAACCTAACGTCTGCCTAGAAGTGAGATCAGTGCGAGCCTAGGAGTGGGCTCAGCATCGGGCTTGTGCCCTTTTTTTTTTGTTTTTTTAACCTATTTTTATAAGCGGACACTACGACCCGAAGGCAGGAGCCTCGCCCGTCTATGGAAACCAAAACTGCTCTACCGTGAAAACTTTTTTTCGTGGTAGTGTTTAAATTCTTGAAGTCTCACGTTCTACCTAAATTTGGAGTAAACATAGACGCTTGAACCACTTTCATCTACTATATACAAACTTCAGTTTTTTGTATTAATTGATATATCTGTAAAACAAGCCTTCAAAACATGCAGATCAATGTTAAAGAGCTACTCTCCATCATGGCACACATACAAATACGAGATAAAGTTTCACAATAAAAATAAAATTGGCATTATTGGTGGTCGCACATCTTTGGTGTGCCCACGTCCAATTTTGATGCGCACTTGCGAACCAACCAAGTGACCGACATTATGTACGCAATAAAAACTTTGCTTTGCTTCCCAAGAAGGTTACTTTGCTTCCCAAGATCATGAATTTTGAATCTCTCAACTCAGCCTACATTACTTTGCTTCCCAAGAAGGTTGGTGCGGATCAGCCCAAGGATTTTCGGCCTATTAGCTTGGTGCATAGTTTTGCTAAACTTATCACTAAGATGTTGGCCAATCGGCTTGCTGATCATCTACAGCAAATGGTGTCACCAAATCAAAGTGCGTTCATAAAAGGGCGCTTCATACAGGATAATTTCATGTTGGTACAACAAACAGCTAGATATCTTCATCAACAAAAACAGCCCCGCATACTTCTTAAATTGGATATTTCTAAGGCATTTGATTCAGTTTCCTGGCCCTTCCTCTTGGAGGTCCTACAACACCAGGGCTTCGGGCAAATCTGGAGAGAGATATAATTTGTGGGCTGTTATCCTCCTCGAGCACTCAAGTTTTATTGAATGGGATTCCTGGAAAATATATTTCCCATCGATGAGGGCTGCGGCAAGGTGACCCCCTTTCTCCCATGCTCTTCATCTTGGTCATAGATGTTTTGGGGCACTTGATTGCCCAAGCTGCAAGGGAAGGTTTTCTACAGCCTCTATCGGCTAGAAATATGCAGCACCGAATTTCTTTATATGCGGATGATGTGGTGCTCTTCCTCCGTCCAGTGGCTAGCGACATTTCTGTAACAATGGATATCCTCAAAATTTTTGGTGAAGCCTCAGGCCTGAACACTAATCTTCAAAAGAGCAGTGTTCTCCCAATTAGATGTGGTGACTTGGAGTCGACAACCATTCAAAATTTGCTGCCCTGCTCCCTTGCTGAGTTCCCTTGCAAATATCTAGGTTTGCCTCTGTCCTTGAAAAAGCTAAGCAAAAGTCAAGTGCAACCCATTGTTGACCGCATTGCTGATCAGTTGCCGGGTTGGAAGGCGGAGTTGATGACAAGGGCAGGAAGGAGGATTCAGGTTCAATATGTGCTTACTGGTATGATGGTATATATTGTTATGGCATCAGATCTTCCAACTTGGGCTATCAAGGCAATTGACAAAATAAGGCGTGGTTTTCTTTGGCGTGGCCGCAAGGAAGCAAGGGGAGGACATTGTCTTGTAGCTTGGGTGAAGGTTTGCCACCCAACTAAACTTGGAGGGTTAGGTATTTCAGATTTCAAAACGCTTGGTTGGGCATTGAGAATGAGATGGTTGTGGTTGCAGAAAACAGAGCCAAACCCGCCTGGGCGCATCTCCCTATTCAGGTCCCTGACCGGGTGAAGGCCTTCTTTGCTGTGGCTGTTATCACCGAAGTTGGTAATGGCGAGCACACCCTGTTTTGGACTGATAGGTGGCTGCATGGTCAGTGCATCGCAGATTTGGCTCCTCGACTATTTGCTGTCGTTTCTAAAAGAAAGATCAAACAACGTACAGTCAAGGAGGCACTTAATAACCGGGCTTGGATAGCAGACATTCAAGGGGCTATTATTGCTGGACTGATAATTGATGTGTTCCAGTTGTGTGATACCCTTTCAGGCATTGTTTTGCAACCTGGAAAGGGGGACAAACATATCTGGAAGCTTTCATCTAATGGCCAATATTCGGCTAAGGCGGCATATGAGGGTTTGTTCTTGGGAGCTACTCTCTTTGAACCATGGGAAAGAATTTGGAAGACTTGGGCGCCACCAAAATGTCGGTTCTTCATGTGGATAGTGCCCCACAACAAGTGTTGGACATCTGACCGCCTTGCACGACATGGAATGCCTCACCCAGATTATTGTCTGCTGTGTGATCAAGAAGAGGAATCAATCAGCCATCTCCTTGTGGAATGTGTATTCGCCAGGGAATTTTGGTTCATTTTGCTTCGGCAGGTCGGTCTCCAGGCTTTGTCTCCCCAACCTACTGATTCCTTCATGGACCGGTGGGAGAGAGCTAATAATGCTACTTCTGATATGGTGAGGCAAGGAGTTAATTCCCTAATTATTTTGGGGGCCTGGACTCTTTGGAAACATCGCAATCGCTGTGTCTTAGATGGAGCAGCTCCAAGTGTGGTTGGGGCTATTGTAATGGCCAGTGAAGAACGTCGGTTGTGGACCAGTGCAGGGCTCGAGGGCTCTCCCTCTTGACCGCCCATCTCCCAGGTGATTAGTTCTTGGGATCTCTGCAGGTCGCCTTCAACCAGCCGAGCTGCGTTTGTGCCTTGGCTGGTGTAGCTTGTGTCGTGTGTGTGTTGTGTTTGGGGTGTTTGTAAGTCTGGGTTCTTGTATCCTCTTTTTTCTTAATACAATGAGACGCAGATCTCCTGCGTTCTTTCGAAAAAAAAACTTTGCTTTCAAGAGCAAGTGGTGGACTAGCAGGTAATAGTAGCTAGGACTAGGAGAGCCCAATTATACGTTGAGAAATCCGCAAAAATGAGAAAGCACACCCCCGTGCATTTCTGCAAAACGAGCACATGCATACTCGGCTCGCGATCATACCACTTTGCCACATGGAAATTTCTGTGTCTCCTTGGTGGACGCATATCATAGTGGACACTGTTCAACACTTCTTGCTAAACCACTCATTTTGTCATTTTGATGAGACCCCAAATCTTTTGTTTCCATGCATGCATATGTGCATATCTTTTACTGAATCCATGGCCACGAAACCAGGCAGACATGACATGCATGAAGCTAGCGATCGCTCTCACGCTCGATCTCTAATTTGTCTGAAGCCTCGTCAGCTGCAAGAGACAGGATCTATACCAAACTGAAGAATTAGTTCATGGTCGTCGTCAGGACGATATTGCATTGCATGCAAGTGCCCTTTTCCTTCCGGCTGATGCATGCAATGATGCAAGGGCACTGTGTAGTGTGTGGTCAGACAGCGCATTACAGCAGCAATAGGGCTCCCGAAAACGCAGCTCCGCAACGGCAGGTGGCCGCCTGCCTTATCTCGTGCCGTCAAACGTGCTCCAAGATTCGTGCGCCGGTCGACTGGCTTTCCCACCCCTCCCATTCCCTCCACCCGAATCTCTCCTTTCCCATGTGCGTAGCCATTTTTTTGTCTGTACCTGCCCTTCTCTTTATGGATTCCCATTCCTCCCTCTCAGTACTGCGCTTCTCTCTCTTTCTCTCTGTCTTTCTTTTATTACTGCATCTTTTTTCACCGGTCCCTTACCTTTTATTCTACATAGTTTTTTCTTCCCACCTTCTTTTAACAGTTTTTTCCAACTGTTTATTTAATTCGTCTTCTTAATTAGTACTTAACTACAGCTCGTCTTCTTAATTAGTATTTAATTCGCTTTTCTTAAATAGTAATTAACTACAGTTTTCCCACCTTTATTTTCTTTTCCTTTTCGCAGTTTGCTCTTTCTTTTCACCTATTTTGTATTTTGTATTTTTTTAGATTTTTCCAAAAAAATTTAACAGTTTTCCCACCGTTTATTTAATTCTTTTTCTTAACTAGTTACGTAACTACATCTCGCTTTGCCTTTTTATTTTAGGGGCTACTGCGTTCTTGCCCCTACTTGACGTCCAGTTGTGATTTTACTCCTGCTTTTGTCATCGTTGTGATTTTATCCCTGTTTTTTGAAAGCGAAGCTTAAGTTTACCCTTATTCCGTAAACAGCAGGTAACGGTGTCAAATGGACTCAGTAAAGACAAGTTTACCCTTGCGAAATTGCCCCTACTTATCTGAATACGTTGTAATTTTACCCCTGTTTGGCAAACAAATCACATCACCGAATACACAGTTAGCTAAATCGATGGACCGACAAAAACTCATTCTTCCTAAATATTGATCCTAATTTTCCTACGGACCAAATCACAGGAGCTGGACGCGATGCCGCACATGAAGTTGCCGCCGGCGACAAGGAACTGGAAGGAGATCCCGAGCGCCGGCTCGTACAGGGTGGTGGTGGGCCCCCTGAGGCTCTAGCACACCGCGGTGTGGTTGGGCCGCCGGAGCGCACATGCGTGGGAGTCGCCGACGGCCAGGCCGTACCCGAAGAGGTCCCTTGGCAGCGCGCCGGCGGTAGAGCCGTTCGCCGCTGCGCCGACGTCGTCCGTGCCCGAGCAGAGCGCGGCGCCGGAGGTGAGGACGGTGCATGCTCGGAAGCCCCCCGCGGCGAGGTACGTCGCGGCGGTCGCGTTGGCCGCGGACGCGTTGGTCTCGACGAAGGACGAGACCTCCCTGGATCCGCTGTCGGGGAGCGCGCCGGCCATGGATCCACCACGGGAGGGGGGGGGGCGCCCACCATGGATCTAGCTGCCCTCCACCGGATCCAGCCGTAGGGGGGCGCGGCCGCCATGGATCCGGCCGCCCTCCACCGGATCCAGTCGCCAGGGGCGCGCCCACCATGGATCTAGCCGTCCTCCATCGGATCCAGCCGCCGGGTGGCACGCTTGCCATGGATCCAGCCGGATCCGAGGTGAGGGAGAGGGGTTGCGCCGCCTGCTGATGGAGGAGAGCCACGCTCCTCCCCGCCGGTGGAGCCATGGAGGTAGGGGAGGAGGGCGGATCCGTGATGCCACCCGCTGCTGCTGCTGCTCCGTGCCGCCGAGAGGGGCCGAGCCGCCCTACGCTGGATCCGGGAGGAGCCACCGCCGGGAGCTGGGCCCGCACTCGCGGCAACCGCGCACCACTGTCGGGAGCCGTCGTGGGGGAGAGTGGAGGAGAGAGGGAGGGTTGGGGAGGGGGCGCGTCGGGAGGGGAGGGGAGGAGACCGGAGGGGAGAGGATGGTAGAGGACGGGGGATTGGAAGGGTACGAGCGGATAAGGGTATTGTCGTCCTTTGGTCTTACTGTGAAGGGATATAATTGACAGAGTTGAAAGTAAGGGTAAACTGAGGCTTAGTTGTTACAAAACAGGGGTAAAATCACAACGACGACAAAAACGAGGGTAAAATCACAATTGGACATCAAAGTAAGGGAAGAACACAATATTCCCTTTATTTTATCCATTTTTTTCACTATCCCACAAACATTATGCATTTTGACTGCCAAATAAACAAAACTCGTGACACACCAAGATTAATCATTTTTCTTATTTCCGTAGAAGCACACATACGCACGATTGCCCTTTTTATGTCAGTACTCCCTCCGTCCCTAAATGTCTGTCGTTTTTGCTTCCCGAGAAATAACTTTGACTAAATATATATTAAAAATATTACTATTTATGATACATAATTAATATCATTGATAGATATTTGAATCTAGTTTTTTAATAAATTTATTTGGAGATAGCAATGTAGCACGTATTTTCTATAAAAGTTATCGGCACGCAAATCGTGGCCACAAACATTTATCGCCACTGTTCTCTCTCATTGCCCCTAGTTTGTTCCTGGGCGTGTCTTCGAAAAGAGGAAAAAGTCCAAATTACTCCCCTCAAGTTTATCCTCTAAATTTATATTTGGTTCAATTTACTCCCTCAACTATCATAAGTTATGTTAGAAAATATATCAACTTTTGTGATATGATAGAGAACATCATAAGTTATGTTTGAAAAAATATATCTTGACTTTTTGCCACAATTTTGATAGCTTAGGAAATTTAATAATAAATTAACACTAGAGATACAATATCGTATAAAACATAATGATGAAAAATCCATAGTCCTCTATCACTTCACAAAATTCGAAACTAAAATATAATTTGTATATAGAGAAACAAAAAAAAAGAAAAATCTGTTTAAGGTGTTAGTTCAACCAACTTAAATAGTTGGAGAGAATAAATTGAACCAAATGTTAGTTTGAGGATTATTTGGATATAGGCCAAACTCGGAGGAAGTATGGCCCCGTTTGCTGGTCTGAAACTTGACTGAAACTGGCTAAAAAACACTGTTCCGGCTGAATTGTTGTGAGAGAAAAACACTGTTCCATCTGAAAAAAAACCAAACAAGCCGAATATGGGGTAAACCGAACATGACCAATATGGACTTTTTCCTCAAGAATAATCAGTGATTGATGAATGCCCCTTGTATACTGAGTGAAGTATCTAACGTTCTCACCTGCAAACTACATGAAGCTGACATATACTAGAAATCCCAAAACAAACATAAGAGGTTTATTATGAAAATCATATGTGAGTTGCATAAAGATAAAAGTCACCTAGGCCCCTGTTCGCTTGAACTTATCAGTCGTACCGTTTCAGTAAAATAACAGTGTTTTTCTCTCATAACAAATCAGCATCAGCCGTTTTTTCAGCTAACCAAACAGTAAATCTGTTGCCAATGTACATAGATGCAATAAATAATTCAATGTAGTATATGTTAGTGTATTTTTCTAAAATCTTGGTTAAAGTTATAGAATAAGTGAAGTATTATCCTGTTATAGGTCTGCAGTTTCGAACATGGTTTCATGATGTTATTCTGTTAATATATACAGCCTGTTCGCTTGCTCGTAAACGATCGTAAATTTCCAGCCGGGAACAGTGTTTTTCTCTCACACCAAACCAGCCAGCAGTAAATAATCCACGATACGATACGGCCTCCCGAACAGGCTGATAATCGCAGATAAAACACCAATTTTAAAACTTGTTTAACCTGTTTTTTTTGGAACAATCATCTATAATCCAAAAAATGAATTCATTATTGAATCTGCGAATAAAAAACAAAAAATCATAGTTTTTAGCTGATAGTTACTAGAACAATAAAAAAAGGACTAATCCTCTAGTGGATGAAGGAGGTCACAAATGACCACCGGCAGATTCATAAAAATGTCGAATAATCTAGTTTTGTATCTATCAAAATCGCAGAGCATAGGGTAGTAATACATCTACAACTACAGACAGACTGATAGAATTGAAGACAGAAGAATTCAAATCTATCATGCCGGAGGATATACCAAAGTAATTCTCTGTTGGATGAATGAGTTCACAAATTACTATAGGCATGCTGGTAAAAAAGAATAATGACCTGTGACTGCATATATCAGGTCATCCAACAGAGCAAAAAGAAATATAGGTGCAGAGAACTAATAGATCTACAACTGCAAATAGGAGATAAGCGAATAAAGAAAAATAAAAAATCAACACTATAGGCATGCTGATAAAAAAAAAGAATAATGGCCCAGGACTGCATCTATCAAATCATCCAACAGAGCAAAAAAAAAAAAAAAGGTGCAGAGAACTAATGGATCTAAAACTGCAAATAGGAGATAACTGAAAAATCGACCTTGTCGCAGGATAGATCAAACTAAATCCATGGTGGATGCATGAGATCAGAATTGACGAACAAATAGTAGAGCAGATGTTACTAAAATAACTAGAACTGAACACACGATAGAATGGGAAAAACAAAAATTAAAATCAAGCGTTGCGGAGGATAGATCAGACCGTAAAACAACCAGATCTGGACCTGTAGCAGATGCTGGTATAACTTGGATGGAGAGATCTAGCGGTGAGCAGCGCAGAGAGAAATTTGTGAGAGATAGAAAATGAGGAGAGCAGCAGAGAGAGAAATCTGGGAGTGGGAGATGCGTAGAGAGAGATGGCGAGAGGCAGAGCAGAGGGAGATGTGGAGCGAGGCAGAGCAGAGGGAGATGAAGAGAGCATGGGAGAAGAGAGAGAGAGAGACAGTCTTCAGCTTAGTAGTCTGGGAATGAAATGAAGTCTGGAATGGGTAGAGAGCAGAGAAGAAAGCCGAAGCTGGAATCAAACGTGAAGCCAGTAGTCTGGGAATCGGAGTCTGGAAAGAGATGGGCGAACTGCACGGTTTGACCGGCACGAATCTCGAAGAGTTGCCTGACGTGAAGCCAGTGTATGCGGCCGCATGCGTTGTGGAAAACCGGGTTGGTGTATTTAATTTTATGATTAGTCTATATTTAATACTCCATACATGTATCTAAATATTCGATGTGATAGGACTAAACTTTTGCCCGAGGATAACAAACAGAGCCTAAATTTGTCCTGCACGTGCAAGCAAACAGTAGCATCAACGTCTAAACCACGACCGCCCATCCGCTCGATCACAATATACCATATATGAAGATCCGTTCGGAAATCACAACGCCCCTTCATGTACCAGTACTTCTCGCCTCCTATCCGTGGCTCAAATCAATGCCAATTATTAAGTTATAGTGGAAGGAACACAATTAAAAAGGATACAATAAAATTGACATTTTTCTATTGTTCTAATGTATAATAAAACACTTCTAATATTCTAATGTATAATAAAACACAAGTTAGTGCAATAGTAGGAACGTAGAATAGTAATTTACAGACAGGGAGTTGGATTCCCCTATTTTCACCTTAAAAAGGCCACTTCCAATGCTATATTTTAAATTAAATACATGGTCCACTAATGGCTGCACCATAACATGTGGTCATGTCCACGTCGTTAATAGCGCATCTTGAATGACTAAGATTCATAGTCTTTTCGTCAATATAACTTGGGAGATATGTTATCGAGAGAGATGTTATCCTAGGGTTGAGTTTTTCAATACTGGCTGTTGGTAGCCTGGTATGACATTGTCGTCCACTACCTAAAGCTAGGACTTGGGATGTGCCATTTTAGTGCCTCTCATGACACAATCTTTTGGCATGACACAACATGATAAATTTTAAGCTGTGATCAGAATCTTGCCACGATGGGTTACATACAATCCATATCTTATGCCATGTTTGGGTCAATGGAAAATCATCCATAACCAGGGCCGTCTCAATAATTTTGAGGGCCCTCGTGCAAGCAAGGCATAAAGGGCCCGGCAATCTAATGTTTTAATATGACGATTCAAATACTGAAATACATAGTACTACTAATAAGAGATAACTTGCAGCATATATTTAGTTCAATAAAAAATGACATTACATCAAATCGAAGAAGCTAAAAGAGCTGTAAGATAACTATTATGGTTACCTCAAATGTAGTGTTTTAGTGCTTTTTAAAAAACCGCCTTCGGGCATTTCTTGATGCAAAATCTTCAATAACAATATCGAGATCAATTTTATCCAAAATATCCTTCTCAATGCTGCACATAGCCAAGCCATTTAATCTTTCTTGTAGCATAGTTGATCTCAAACAATTTTTCAATAGCTTCAATTTAGAGAAGCTTCTTTCGGCTGATGCTACTGTCACAGGAACAGTTAAGAGAATCCGATATGCAATAGAGACATTTGGATAGCAATCTAAATCTTTAACAAAGTGAAGAATCTCAAGTGCTGACATTAATTTATGTGGCAAAGTAACTTGCAGCACTTTCAATTCAGAGAAAAAATCATCTAACTCA